TTGATGACATATTTCTGGATTATTCACGACAATGTGCCACTCTTGATACAATGTCTAAGCTCTTTAAACTTGCTGAGGTAGGTTGCCCTTTTTTCTCTCTTGATTGAGGATATTATAGTAATATCACCATTGTATAAAATACAAAATTCAAGGGAATTATGAGCTTGAGCCTCCAAAGACCAAAAACAGAAGTATAGTATTTTCTAATCACCTCCTTTTTTCCTAATGCAGGCAGCACATCTCAAAGAAAAGATTACTAGTATGTTCAATGGGGAGCATGTAAGTAAACCTGTAAATTCATCTGGAAGTAACTTGGGGATTGACTATTTTACCCTTTTGATACAAATGTGATACTCCAGATAAACAGCACAGAGAACAGGTCTGTGCTTCATGTAGCTCTTCGAGCATCAAAGGACACAACTATAAACAGTGATGGAAAAAATGTTGTACCTGATGTTTGGCAAGTTCTTGACAAAATTAAAGAGTTTTCTGATAAAGTTCGCAACGGTTCTTGGGTAATCATCCATCTTAAATGCTAATCTTTATCTTTATTTATTAATTATATATAATATATAATATATAATTCTTTTCTGTTGAGTAATAAGAAATCCTTATTAGGTTGGAGCCACAGGGAAACCACTTACAAATGTGATTGCTATTGGTATTGGTGGAAGCTTTCTTGGTCCATTGTTTGTGCACACTGCTCTTCAAACTGGTCACTTTCTTCAACTCCATGTTCTTATTCTAATATTAATTAATCTTCTTTTTGTATTCTGTTGTATAGAATAAAAAACAAAAATCTTATTATTATAATCTGTTTTGTTAAATAACAGATCCAGAGGCTAGTAAATCAGCTGGAGGACGCCAACTTCGCTTGTAAGTAAACATATTTTATAATAAAGTTCACATAGTCTTACAAAATCATGAAATTTGTTATAAATTTATGATTATTGAGATGCTTTTAATTCGTCTTATTTTTTTTTGAACTCCTATCTTTTTATTTTCTGCAGTCTAGCAAATGTTGATCCGGTAGATGTTGCCAGAAATATTACAGGCTTGGATCCCGAGACAACTTTAGGTTCATATTTTCTTTTGTAATTCAATTTATTTCAAAAAACCGATTTTTTTTTTTTACATAATTAATGTTATTTCTTCTACCACTGCAGTTGTTGTAGTTTCCAAAACTTTTACTACAGCTGAGACTATGCTGAATGCAAGGACATTAAGGGAATGGATCTCATCTTCTTTAGGGTAACTACACCATTTTTTTTCCTTCCTATTATACCCTTACTCTTTATGTTGTCTTACACAACATGGTTTCATTTTCTTTGCTGTTTAAGGCCACAAGCTGTTTCAAAGCATATGGTTGCTGTTAGCACAAATCTTAAGGTTCTTTTTTTCCTTTTTATCTATTACAACTCATAAATTATTAAGTACTATTTATCATTCTAATTTTTTTTATATGTTTTTCTTTGATGCAGCTTGTGGAGAAATTTGGGATTGATCCTAACAATGCTTTTGCATTCTGGGATTGGGTAGGAGGGAGATACAGTGGTAAGAATAAGATAGTCTTTTTATTACATAAAGAAGGGCATAAAAAAGAACCCATTTTTTCATTTTTTGAAATGTTTTTATGTAATTTTTCATTTTGTTTAATTTCAGTTAGCAGTGCTGTTGGAGTGTTACCTTTATCTCTCCAATACGGTTTTCCAGTTGTTGAAAAGTACAGTAACACATGAACTTCATCTTTCTCTCACTAAAATACATTACATTTTATTTTCACTTTTTTTTATTAATTCATTATTAACAAGACTTTTTCCCTTATTTATAGGTTTCTCAAAGGTGCTAGAAGCATTGATCAGCAATTTCAATCTGCTCCTTTTGAGAAAAACATACCTGTATGTTTTACTCTTACTCCTTCACATGATTTATTTCCATTGGAATAAACATTTTTTTATTTATTTTTAATGACTTATTACTTATTACTCTATAATTATCTCCAAACAAAATTAAAACTCCTCATATTCCCATTTTACCCCTCTCTTTTAATCTATTTTTCATACACATTTTTATACTTTGGTTAGTTCATATAGTTTATCAAGTATTCATAGTAAAAAGTAAAAACAAATATTAAGAAGACATGAACAATATATATTTTTGTTGTATTTAATCTTCTTAACCACATTTTTTTTTGTATTTCAGGTGCTTCTAGGTTTGTTGAGTGTATGGAACGTTTCTTTTCTTGGATATCCTGCAAGAGTGAGTTTATTCACCTGAGAGGGTATTTTGGTAATTTATTCTTTGTTAAATTCCTCATTTAACATTTTTTTCCCTAGGCTATTCTACCTTACACTCAAGCTCTCGAGAAGCTTGCTCCACACATTCAACAGGTATATATTATTTATTATCATTTAACTTTTCTAAACATTTGGAACTATTTTTATTGATATAATTTAATTTAATTTAATTTTATAGGTTAGCATGGAGAGTAATGGGAAAGGAGTATCCATAGATGGTGTAAGCCTTCCTTTTGAAGCTGGTGAAATTGATTTTGGTGAACCAGGAACAAATGGTCAACATAGTTTTTACCAACTAATTCATCAGGTAACTAACTAACTAACTAACTTTTTTGTTTTTCTATCTATCTGCTAATAAAAAGTCTAATTTACCCTTCAGGGGCGTGTTATTCCTTGTGATTTCATTGGAATTGTCAAGAGTCAGCAACCTGTCTACCTTAGAGGTACCAATCCTTTTCCTCTCTAGTTTTAAGTTTTAACCTCACTTATTTTTATTTTTATATATAATGTGAAAATTTGGTATTCAGATGAAGTGGTAAATAACCATGATGAACTCATGTCAAACTTTTTTGCACAACCTGATGCTCTTGCTTATGGAAAGGTAATCAATCTACTTTCTACTTTTCACTTTTTAAATAATATAAGTTTTTCTAACTAACATAATTTTCTCTTCTTTCCAGACCCCTGAACAATTGCGAAGTGAGAATGTTGCATCTCATCTTGTTCCTCACAAGGTGACTTCCTACTTCATATTTAAAATTATTTTTTTTTTTTAAATAATACTAATTTCATTTTTTTTATTGACAGACATTTACTGGGAATAGGCCCTCCCTTAGCCTTCTGCTTCCATCATTGGATGCTTATAGAATTGGACAGGTTTATTTATTTATTTATTTTTTTGTTGCTAATCCTCATTTATTTTGCTGACATCATCTTACAAAATATCTTTTTTTTAGTTGCTAGCTATGTATGAGCACAGAATTGCTGTGGAAGGTTTCATTTGGGGCATCAATTCTTTTGATCAATGGGGAGTTGAATTAGGAAAGGTAAATTCCTCTTTTTTTTTTTTTTTTTTTTTTTTTTTTTTTTCCAATAAAATAAATAAAAATGAACTTATTTTATTTAATTAAATAAAATTACAGTCGCTAGCATCCCAAGTGAGAAAGCAACTTCATGCATCCCGTAAGAAAGGAGAATCAGTCGAGGGCTTCAATTTCAGTACCACCAAGATGCTAACAAGATACCTCAAGGTACAAAAATACCATCCTACTTTCATTTCTTTTATTATTTTTTTTTATTTTAATATATGTAATAAACAAATCAATGAGATATTTTTGTACACGTGGCTTTTTGCAGGCAAGTGCAGATGTGCCTTCAGAACCCACTACTCTTCTGCCCAAGATATAAACTTTTTTTATTTTTTTTGGTAACTGCATGAGACGTGTTGTACTGTACAAGCATAAATCTTGCCATTTTTAAATGATGGAATAATTGTTTTATCTTTTTAATTTCTGAATAAGATATGGCTTGGGTAAGGTAATATGGGAGTTGTATTTGAGGATTTTTTTTATTTTTTTTTGATAAAATAAATTATTAAATATATATTTTTTCTCATGATTGGAACATTGCTCCAAGTTTAAGAAAAGCTCAAAAGGTCACCTATATTTATTGTCTGCCAACTGCTTGATGAAATGTTTCTATCACCTCAACAGCTTAGGGGTGATTAAGAGTATGAGGAAAGAAGGAATAGTTATCATCATCACATATATAAACCTAAAGAGTTTTATTGAAATGTCAACCTACAGACCTATGATTGTCTTTTACATTAAAATTTTTATATTAGAAAGGCAAATAGAAAACCATTGGTGATGTATCTCCATTAAGCGCCTCTCTTTAGTTGTTTAAGGATTTGAGTTTGATAAAACCAGTCGATAACTTTGGTCTATAATTGTGTAGAAGTGTTCCTAAAAATTAGCTCTAAGCTTTTGAATTGTTGAAATAATATAAAACTAAAAACTCTCAAAAACTATTTGAAATAACTTTTGGATTATAAGTTTTTTTTGTTTAAAATAAAAGTTTTAAGTTCATTTGGAAATAAAGTTTTTTCTTTAATTCGGGACTTTCCCCCAAAAGTTCAAACCTAAAGCTGGACATACCTATTTAAAATACTAACAATATAAAAATAATCTCGAAAAAGTTGCAAAATTGAAAATCATAAGTATATATATTGGATTTTCGATAATCAGAATATTTGAAATTTTGAAATACCAGTATATGTATCCTTATATGCAATTCATTTCAGATTAATACATGTTGAATTTTTGGATTCAAATATTTTTAACACTTCCCAAAAATGTCGGGTTAGGATTTGCTGTTTCCTTTCAATATACTTATTCTCTCCTATAAATACAAAGATGAGTTTTTTCAACTCGTGTGTTTTTTTCTAAATATATATTATTTTATTTGGTAGTCATTATTTTCATAAACATAAACTCATGATTTGCTTTCAATTATTGAATTAGTCTCCCGCAGGTTCATCCATTATTTGTTGTTGAAGCTACCATTTAATAAAGTCAACCCGATGCCCTCCCACCCAATCAACATTTCCCATTTTTTAAACAATTTTATTCTTCTAACAACTCCATCTTTCCAATTAATATTCAAAATACACCTTTTTTCATTTCTTCTTTCTATTTCTCAACAATGGTGCTCCCCCCTCCTCCCATCTCCCTCCTTTGCTTAATCTCCATTGTCACACTCTACTTGATGATTTGCTATGCAGTCATCGGCTTCATTGCCAAATCCGAAGTTTTTAGAGTCGACTCCCATGAAAATGACAAATCTACCCCTGGTTTATCTGTAGAAGAGTTACAAAAGTTACAAAGTTTTAGTCACAAAATCAACCAAGGAGATGAAGAAGAATCATTAAGTTGTGCAATATGTTTGGATGATTTTAAAGAGTTTGAGGTATGCAAAAGATTTCCAAGTTGTGATCATGTGTTCCATAGCCGTTGTATTGATCTATGGTTGGTTCATAGAAGAACTTGTCCAATTTGTAGGACATCATTTGATCATCTTATTCATGTTGTTTAAGATTTTTCTATTTTATTTGTTTTTTGTTTTGAAAATATGTGATTATGAATGTTATTGATATTTTTTCGTGACCAATCAATATAGAAATTACAAAGTATATTTCCATATTGTTGGTCTTGTTCCAATGTACTTCGACTTCAATTCAGGAATAAATATTTTGGAATCAATTGTCCAAATTATAAGTGAAATATGTGTTTCAATATGAATACAAAGTCTTGATTATTGAAAATTTATGTATTAGTTGCGTATAACTTCTCCATGTATATAATATTGGTTGTGTCATTTCTTGGTTTTGAATTATAAGAAGCTTAGTTGTGAACACTGTAAAAGGTTTTATAGTTTTTTGAACTATGTGTTTTTTTTTCAAGTTAGGCTTAATAAACAATTGAGGATTTTAATTTAGATTTTATATTTTTTCGGCTTGCATATTGTTATAAAAAAAATGTTTGATTGAATTTTAAGATAAATGAAAATGTCCATGACTAATGCATGTGAAAACAAAATCGACAAATAGAATATCATGGCAACATTTCTGAATATTCAAAACAAAAAAAATGTAGAAGGGTAACGGGTTCAACAGGTTTCATATATTTTAAATTACTAGAAAATTATAGATATGTTATTATTGTGGGAGAAAAATCAAAATTATAGATATGTTACAATGCACAAACCGGGTTCTGAGTGAAAGCGGATCGGATTGAAACCAGTTTTGGCCTCTTGGATCTAAACCGGATTGAAAAAAAAAAAAAAAAAACATATATTTTCATCAATTTTGCCGCATTTTACTGAACTTGAATGTGTCCGAAATTAATGAAATTTTTATTGTTGATCAGACATGGCTCAATAAACAAAGCTCATCTTTTTGCCTTAGCGCAGATGTTGTTGACAATTTTGGATTGTTTAAGGGATCAAAAGTGTATTATAATGTTTTTAACGCTATAAAAGTTGTTTCTCTAGCATCCTCGATATTTTAAAGGGTCAAAACCTTTCTTAAGAAGTAAGAACCCTTCAAGAATAATTTCAGAAGTAATAGATCAAAAGCGCATTTTTATGCTACATAAAATATCGGATTTTTATAGGATCTAAGCCGGTTTTTGAACCGGTTTTCGTAAATTTGGTTCCAATCAAGTTTTATATCAATAAGTTATATCCCTAATTCGATATCAGATTCAATTCGGTTTTATTAATCCATTCTTTGTCGGAGCCTGTTCTAGATCAAATACCGGATTTCCGACCCAAAGTGTTATTTTGCCCACATCTAGCATTGTACCATAAATGAGTTATCACTTATTAAACTAGAAGATATCTATATATAAAGCAAACTTTCGTTTAAAAGACAACACTGATTTTATTTCATTTTATTTGTTACAGGAGATAAATTACACAAACCTACAACTGAAATGATATATTACAAGAGGAAAAATCATTTGTGGTACGATTATACATATAAACCACAAAAAGATTTTTTTTTTGTTTGTTTATTTAAGTATGGTAATGATAAAATAAGTTATAAATAATGATCCTCTTTTTTAATAGTAAATATACGTTAAGTTATGGAATCATGATTTATAATTGTACTTTAATTAAATTAAACTAGAATCAAACTCATTATTGGATAAGTTATTCAACAAATGATTACATAAAATATATAATTATTCAACAAAAGATTACCAGAATTATGTAAGGTCAAGTGGGATGTTATGATATATCGGTTGAGATCATGGATTGTTTAATAAGCCTCTTAATCTCTTAATGGTTCTATTAAGAGACAACCACAAAACCATCTTAGTAGCTTACGTCAATCCACCATAAGGCCTATTGGTGGTCAATCATGGAACACTAACAATATTTTGAATGTTTTATGGTTTAAACATTAGACCTCATGTTTGAAATGTCACTCCTCAAATACTAGACTCTCATCATGGAGGCGAGACAACCTCTTAATCTCTTAATGGTTAATCATTAAGGTGTTGTTTCTTTTTGACTTAATGCACTTAATGTATAAAAAATTTAATGGTTCGTCTATATTTGGTCGTTTTTTTTATGTTAAGAAAATGTTTTAGTTGGTTAAATTAACAAATATATATCCTTAACAGGTAATTTTATATTTATTTTTCTTATGCCTTTTATTTTCTCTACATCACCCCGCATCACCCCATGTTTCTCTTCATTTTACTAGGTTTAAACCTATGGAAATCACACTTAAGAAAAAAACAAACTATTATTAAAAAAATTGTAGCAACCAGTGGCGGATGCTCTTAGTGGCCAGAGGGGGCCATGGCCCCCCTGGTTTTGAGGTTCCTAATACTTGCATATATATA